ACATATAAAACAAGCAGATCAAATTACCAATCAAATACCAAAAATTGCAACAAAAAAAGTGTTTTAAACTTTTCATAATTGACAATAAACTTCTTTTAAAGAAGTTTTAAGTTTTTTCTTGATAAAATAACTTGATAAAATATTTTCCTAGATATAAGCATCAGAAATGCAAGATTTTAATTACTTGGCTAAAATATGCCATCAAATGTAGATTAAAAATTAAATCAACAATTCCAACCTAAAATATTAGAACCTAAAATATCCAAATATTTAAACAAGAAAGAAACAGCTGTTGATGCCAAATTCTGCATTTAAACAAGAAAGAAACAGCTGTTGATGCCAACTTCTACATTTAAACAAGAAAGAAACAGCTGTTGATGCTAACTTCTACATTTAAACAAAAAAGAAGCAGCTGTTGATGCTTCTACATTTAAAATTGAGTTAGCTTACTTAATACCACAAAAAGAAAAAGGAAAAAAAAAGATTGGTTGAGTGAACTAATAGTTTTTAAAGTAAAAATTTGTTACAAAACTTCTAAACAATTTTTTATATTTAATTAAAACTTAATTATTCATTAAAAAAAACCTTTTTATGTTTTCTATAGTTAACTCGTTTGTTCCAATGTATGCTGCTTACATCAGGAAGTGTATAATGATGGAAGATATTCTCATTCGAAGAAATTTGATAATTGGGATAATCAATGTCATCTTGACTTTCATAATCATTTAAAAATGAATCATCTAAATAATAAATTCAAAACATTTTCTAAAATCAAATATATATATATATATATATATATATATATATATATATATATATATATATATATATATATATATATATATATATATATATATATATATATATATATATATGTATATATATATATATATATACACATATATATATATATATATATATATATATATATATATATATATATATATATATATATATATATATATATATATATATATATATATATATATATATATATATACAGTGCCGGCCTTAGCCTTTTTGCCGCCCTCGTGCGAAATTTGTCCTGTCGCCCCTGAAAATTTTATAAACGTGCTGGTAAATTACATGGAAAATAATAACAAATCGAATTCAAAAATAATACTTTGCAATAAAACGCTACATACAAAGAAACATTTTTTGTTTATGTTTTACACAAAATACATTTAATTTTTTTAATTAATCTTACGAGCCTTCTTATCACCAAAATCTTTGATTAGGGTTGAAAAATCAAGATTTTCAGCAATATTCTTTTCAATCGATAGGGTTCCTAAACTTGAAAGTCTATCCTGCGACATTGTTGACCGCAGATAGGTTTTTATTAGTTTCATTTTGGAAAAGCTTCTTTCTCCACTCGCTACAGTGACAGGTATTGTTAGCAAATTTCACATTGCAATCCATGTGTTTGGATACAAATCTTGCATTTTGTGCTGTTTTATAAAGTTTAAAACAATAATAGGAGTAATTTTATCCTTGACCATTTCAGAAAGAAAAGGTTTAATGCTCATCAGTTCATCGCAAAGGAGAATACCATTAATGTCCGATTTTAGATTTACGGTAAGTTTACTTTGAAGAGCTAAACATGATTTTAGAATTTCTTCTCTTTTTTGCAAACTATCGACATAATACAAAAAACCCCAAACTTCGGAATAATTCTCCAACTGTATAAATCTTTCTCTCATTGAAATTAAAGATGTGTCTAAAAGAGGATTGAAGAAATTGATTTCTAATTTTTTTTCAGGAGAAAATAAATAAATCCCATCTTGTGCTGGTTTTTCAAAATGGCGTTTCACTCGTATTATTCTTTTAAGTGGTTTAAAAACAGGCTCCACTTGTAATTCTATAGCCAAATCCTTTGCTTTTATAATTGCATCTTTAAAACCCCATTTTCTATAGTTTTTTAAAAATGAACAACAGCTTTTCAATAATTTTGCACATTGAGTGATGTCCATGCCTTTTTCTTGAAGAGTTTTACTAACAATATTGACTTAAAAAAGAACGTCATACCAGACAATTAAAAAGACAAGAAAGCTAAAATCTTTTAATTGCTCTCCTAGAGTTATCGCTTCATGTGCAGTTTCAGGATTACATCCTTCAATTTCTGACAATGCTATCAAAGCGTCATGTACATCACCAACTTGATAACGAACGGCTTTAACACTACTTATTTTTGCTTCCCACTGCGTGTCACAGAGTTTCTTTAAATGCAAAATGATCAATTAAAATTTTCCATCGGCTCACTGAAGCTGAGAATAGAGTAAACAATCTCTGAAGAATACCGAAAAAAGCTATAGATTTTACTGAAGACCGTGCAGAGTCACTTATTACCAAATTTAAGCTATGGTTAAAGCAAGGAACATATAATGCTAAAGGATTATAATTTAAAATCCTTTTTTGCACACCATTAATCTTTCCTTTCATATTTGATCCATTATGATACCCTTGACCTCTGCAGTTAGAGATTTCAAGTCCATGCTTAGTTAGCAACTCGATTAAAACCTCAGTGAGTCCTTATAGAAAAACATTTTGCCATCGCAAACTGTCTTTTTCTATAACTTTAATTTCTTCATTATCTATAGTTTTTCCAGTTTTTAACCTTATTTCAGTTTTTACCCACTGTTGATAACATTTCATATGAGAGATGCTGTTTTCATGAATTCCCAATGTTTCAGTTAAATGTCTCCATTTCTTGAAACCATCAGAGACAAAGTTTGACTTTGAATTATTATCAAAAAGTAGACAGCAAAAACAAAATACGGAGTTTTTAGAATCTGAATAAACCAACCATCTACGGCAAAATGTTTCTCCATTCGCAAGCTTTCTATTGCAATAAATGCTAGAAAAATGTCGACCATTTCTATCTTCAGGGTATTTTTCCTTTGTAATTTGAAAAGGACCAAGTTTGATTAAATGGTCCACAAACTTGCTAGATCGAACAATTGGCCAATATCCACAATCCAATAAATTAGGTGTTTCTTGTAAAAAATCTTCCGATAAATCATTCGATTCTTTTAAAATAACTGGTTCATTATCTACTTCAATTTGCAATGAAGTTATACAACTATTTTTGAGTAATGTTGAAGGTTCTCCAATTTTATTGGACATAATCGTAGAAATAGTTGAAGCATCAGGGTTAAAATATTCACGACTTTCGTCAGGTTTTTTATAAGCAACATATTTTTCAATGCTTATGAATTTTTTAATTTTTTCATTTTTAAATTTTTGATCTTTAACGGACTTTCTTTTTCTGTACTCATAACCAGACAACTTTTTTCTCGAATTTGAAATTTTATGTGACATGAGACAGAATATTTTTTAAGATAAAATTATTTCTACAATTTAACAAAAAAAAAAAAATTTAACAAAGTTCTCAAAAGACATTCATAAAATTATTAAAGAAATAAAACAAAAAGTAACTAAACTTACCGAAAATTGTTTAAATCGAGTCAACTTAACATTTAATAACAAAAAATAAAAACTTTTGAACTTCTTTATAAAAAATTTTTTGCAACTTTTCGAAATGACTCCTAGGGGAAATAACGCACAAATGATACTACAAATTACAATAGAAAATCGTGCGTTAATTAAGTAAATGTAGTAATTTTTTGTCTTCAAATTTAAAATCGTGTTTTTTTTTGCAAAGGTCGTTAAATCTTTTAATTTACTTTAAATTTTTAATATACTACTGGAAAACTAAAACTTGTGACTAATAAAATTCTCCGCCCCTATTTACTTGCCACCCTCGTGCAACGCACGACCTCGCCCCCCCTAAAAGCCGGCGCTGTAAATTTTTTGAAAATGCTTCAAGTTCAAGGTAAGGTTTTAGCGTTTCTATTGAGTTTAAATTTTTAGGAAGTTATTTTTTTAATATTTGGTCTAAATATAGAATGTACGGTATTTTAGATATGTTAATTTCCTCAAATTGACCCTAATTGAGAAGTAAGTTTCATTTTGTCATAAATGAATGTTATAAATTGCAGTTTGTATATATTTTTTTATATTTATATCATCATAATAATATGATGATCATAATAATAAAGTTGTATGTATGACATTAGCTATTATTTTTATTATTATTTAGAATTGTTATATAATGCGTTTATATGTATCATGTAATAATATTTATATGTATCATGTAATAATATTTTTATTATATAACATTATATGTGTTCTAGTTTGTATTTATAGTTATATTACATTGCTTCCATGTTTTCAAATTGGTATGACATGGTAATGTGTATAGCAAGATTGCTAACTTTTCCATCCAAATGTTGTACCTACAGCCGAGGTGTGACTTTTCATCGGTAAAGAATTTAGTGCTAAGTGATACTGTTAGGTGTTGTCTAGCCATTTTAATTTTTTTAATATACATTATTAAAATTTAGCGAAATGTGTACTTACAAATATTTAATGTGTTCTTACAAATATCTATGTACTATTGTTGTGTGTTAATGTTGTAATGATATTGTTGTAATGATATTGTTGAGATGATATTGTTGTAATGATATTGTTGTAATGATATTGCTGTAATGATATTGATGTAATGACATTGTTGTAATGATATTGTTGTAATGATATTGTTGTAATGATATTGTTGTAATGATATTGTTGTAATGATATTGTTGAGATGATATTGTTGTAATGATATTGTTGTAATGATATTGTTGTAATAATATTAATGTAATCGTTACAACAATATCATTACATCAATATCATTACAACAATATCATTACAAAAATATCATTACATCAATATCATCTAAATATCATTACAACAATATCATCTAAGATTCTAACAGAATCACTTAGCACTTGAGTTTCTTCTACTCTGTTATTTTACTAGTTTTTTCTGCTATTTTGATTATTTAACAATTATTTAGTTGCAATTTAAAAATATTTGTTCATAACATATTTTTGTATTGTTTTGTATGAAAAACTATGAACAACATTAAAAATATATTAAATTGAGATATAAAATGATTGCTTTTATAGCAAAATGTTTTGTTTTGGCTTTTTTTTTATGATGAGAAGCAGCTAGCTTTATATATGAAACTACCTTTTAGCTATTTTTAATGATAGACATGCTGTCTATCAATAAAAAACATCTCAACAATATCATTACAACAACATCATTGCAACAATATCGTTACAACAATATCATTACAACAATATCATTACAACAATATCATTACAACAATATCATTAAAAATATAACATTATAACAATATTGTTGTAATGATATTGTTGTAATGATATTGATGTAATGATATTGTTGAGATGATATTGTTGTAATGATATTTTTGTAATGATATTGTTGTAATGATATTGTTGAGATGATATTTTTGTAATAATATTTTTGTAATGATATTGTTGTAATGGTATTGCTGTAATGACATTGTTGTAATGATATTGTTGTAATGATATTTTTGTAATGATATTGTTTAGATGATATTGTTTAGATGATATTTTTGTAATTATATTGTTGTAATGATATTGATGTAATGATATTGTTGTAATGATATTTTTGTAATGAAGCAGCTAGCATTATATATGAAACTACCTATTAGTTATTTTTAATGATAGACATGCTGTCTATCAATACAAAACATCTAAACAATATCATTACAACGATGTCATTACAACAATTAGTGCTTCCAATACCGGTAGTACCGGTATCGGAATACCGGTATTACCGGACATTTTTAAGTACCGAAATACCGGTA